CCACGGTAACGCCGGTACACACACCCTTAGGCCAGTAGTCCACCTTCATGAAGGTGGGCAGCATGTTGGTGGGGACCCGGGCCACAAACGCCTTGAAACTCGCGTTGTGGCTCGACTCCAGCTGCGTCACCCTCAATGTCAGGTTACTCTTGGTACGGATATAATCGACAATGTCCTGTTCCTATATGCTAAAAACATTTTATATACACGCTAACAAGACCATTCGAATTCAAAAGCTCCTCCTTTTGACTTTTGGTGGCCCAACATGAAGTTTAGTTTGAATCACAGATAACATAATATTACATACAGATACCCCATCCCATACAAGAAAATGGTTCCTTCCTAACTCGGGCTATTCTTCGGGCTATTTTATTTCGCCGCCGTAGCCGCTAGATGTCTCTAGATCTGAAGCAGTTCGGATTACTAGTGGGTGCTTAGTAACAAAGCACGAAAATAGATGGCAGTCAATTCAGTCTACATGACATCTGTTTTGCAAAGATAGGTATATACAAGATATGTAGGTAACTGTATCGTGTACCACATTAGGGACGATTCAAGATTCAATGTAAATGTGTAGGTATAATATCGTTAGCCGATACCCTGCAGATATGGCTTATGTGCCAATGTATATATTATGTTATAGTTTATTCTACATTCCATGCCTATTTTTTCTCTCGACGAAGATATGTTGTAACGCGTCTGCGCTATACGTATAGCCCGATTTTGATACGTTTATACTCGTACGTATCAAAATCGGGCTATATGATTTTTTATTTCAATCGTTATGTGTAAGAGACTGGTTTTAGCTACAATGAATTTACTGGTATATACCTCATGTATTCTACGATGTACCCCTCTTTTCCCTAATGAAAATTCCGCTATATCTTATATATAAACTTCGTATCACAGTGTTAGTTGCCATATTTCTCCCACATTTTGATGAAATTTGATATGTATACTTGCTAGGTCTGAGGTAGGGTTGTTATCTATTTTTTATACCCCTAAGTCATAGGGGTGGCCTACCCTGAATTTTTTTTTTTTTTGTATTATGGACAATTTTTTATTTATTTATAATGTTACATACACGCCTAAATTTTGGCCCGTCTTTCACCAACCCCTATTTTTAATAGCGATATTCTTACAAATATTATAAATGCTAAAGTAACTCTGTCTGTATGTCTCGCTTTCACGCCCGTTACACGTTAGAAATGTGTAACGGGGGAACACGTTACTTAGTACGAAATTATGTATATTACAATAAAACTTAACGAGAAAATATTATAATGATGTCACTGGAACACTCATTGCTTTACTACTATACCGTCCATTAGTCGCGAACTTTCTGGATGCGCGAGAGGCGCGCTCCTATTGGTCCGTCGGTGCGGTTACCGCACGACGCGCATGCGCTGTACGCTTAGATGAGTCTCACGGCACGGGCGTAAGTACTTACTATGTAATATGTATAGATATGGGTGTCACAAATGTTTTTATTACAAGTAATATTACTCTATTATCTAAGCCAGTAATGTGTGCTTATTTTGAACTTGATAATATTCAGAATTACTTGTATACATAACTTTCGATATCTACAATAATAATATCTTTGATGTATGAAAGAAATGTATGTACCTACATAAAAAGTTCATTTTTTAAATGTATGAAATGTATGAAAGAAATGTATGTACCTACATTAAAAGATAATTTTTGACATGTATGAAATGTATGAAAGAAATGTATGTACCTACATTAAAATATAATTTTTGAAATGTATGCACCGTACAATAACAATACACGTTAAACATCATACCACAGAGTCATACGCAAGTTAAAAACAAACTGCTATGATATTAATGAGAAAGGAAAATCAACTTTATGGTATTCGAGTTAGGGTCGATTTCTCTCTTTTTTTTTAAATACTATTTTAATCTTGCCAGTATTCAAAGACAACTACGATTCGTACTCGATATTTTAAATTATTATGTAATCGATTTTTCAGTACAAATGTAAATAACCAACGACACTAATAATGTACTACTATATTCCGTTCTTTGAAACGGAACACTGCTATAATACAAAATAATGAAAATTTACTGTTCACAACGACTCATTAAAAGCATCATCGAATAATGCGCTGTAATAAAATCCTGTAAAATTATTCAAAAAAATCGATAATACATGTATTTATTTTTAATATGACAACACTTCATACATAAGTATTATTGGAAATAGTATTACTTGCTTGTTCGACTATTTTTAATTTACTTAAAATTTTTTTATATGTTTAATTTACAATAATGATATATTAAGTGCTTATTATTGGAAAATATAAAAATAACATTTAATTAGGCCGATACAAATGACAACAATGCCATCTATGAAAGCATTTTGAAAACATTGAGCCCCGTATTAGCACTGATTAAATTAATTAAGTACTGGAAAATAACAAAATGAGTAAATATATGAAAATTACTTTTCTAAACGCATTATTTCATTTTAACATGTATATATAACTTTTAAAAATTGATTAAACATTTTTGTAAACACAGTTTTGTTTTTTAAAACGTTTGCAAAACTATGAAGAATTCCATCGATACCAATCACGCCATCTATATGCAACTTTTAGCAATAATAATGGCTACTTCCTCACGGATTGCCACTGGTTTGAATGAAGATTATTTCTATTCCATTTGTATATTTCAACAAATGGAATAGAAATAATCTTCATTCAAACTAAACTTCATGTTGGGCACTTTTTATTAGTAATGTTTTTATTTTAATACTGTTCTGCAACACAGATTCCGCCAAGAAGTGAGCAAGAGATTTGTCGATGATACGGTTTTGAAAAAAATAATTTACTTAAGGTATTAATTGTCAATCATGTGATAACTGTCTGAAAATAAAGAATCTTTTGTTACCTTTAATCGTTTAATTTTGTATTTTTACCAATATATTCATTGAATTGGTGATTCGAAATGGCGATTAATTTATCAGATCATTGGGCATCGATAATGGCTCCATAAAACGTCGGAACGTTCTGTCGTCTGTGGCTAACGTTTTGTCACACAAATAATGGCCAATTTAGTGACACTGTGACAATAGTGACCATTCGCTTTTGTCACAATTTTCCCGCTTGTTGACCACCGTGCGAAATGCTTTTCATCATTGTGTAGAAATTCATTGATGGATAAGTCCTATATAATAATGATACGATATGTATATTACAAAATGATAATTTGCAAAGATTATATTATTTCTTGATTATGTCCTACAATTTTGGGATCCTTACACATATCAGTATACTATGTTATATGAAGTTATTGTTAATTATTATATCAGTTCTAGGGTCGTGTACCATAACATTAGAATGTCGAAGAAATTGAACTTATGTGGGAGTGACGTAATAATGCTGGAGACAATCTATGTAGATTAAAATAACTAAAGTAATTATTTTCATTCAGTTCAATTCAATTCAATTGAAAATATCTTTATTAATGTACATGTTCGGAACAATATCGAGATGAGAAGAACTGACAAGAAGCTCGTATTCTTTTAAAAAAAAATTCTACATGTTTACAATAATACAGATTCGTTTCTAAATTCAAATCTGTGAAAATAGAGTGACCAGTATAATTTTATTTGCAACTTCTTGGTGTTATTAATAAAATATCAAAATAACATTCTATTTATTTATTCCGCCAATATTATTACAATTAGATATTAATGCATTATTTATAAAACAAACTATATTTTATATATTATTATTTTTCTTATTTATAATCAACGATTTATTTGACAAGTCAACAATTTTAAAAATAAAATGTTGCCTACAAAAATTATTTATATTATATTTTTTCTTAAATTATATTAATTCAAAGTATATTGAACAAATAGCTTACATAATTATTTTTTTGAGTCACCACTCAACAACTCAACAATTCTAAATTAATATTAATATAAACATAAATATAAAAAAAGTTATGAATCCTACTTTCAATATTGATCGAATAGCGTACACATAAACAAATATTTATTATTACGTTATAGGTAAGTAGACATTTATTATTAACTCAATTATCGTGTAACGATTCGTTGACAATACATGTACGTACGTAATAATGACAGTACTTACATAACGCACGGTTTTGTAATTTCATTTTTTGTACAAGCAAAAATAAATTGTACACCACGAACCCAATAAACTTAAGCCTGAGTTCCAATCATATCTACTAAAAAAAAATTAAATTAATTTAATTTAATAAATGTAAACAAAATATTACATATTTGTACAGTGCCAAGCTTTTTCGTTAATCTTCAAAACATTCATTATTGTCTACTTTCAATTTGAATAAATATGAATATAATAATCTACTAAAACTTTAAATGTAAATTACTTCAACTTTGTTTCTTAGTGTGCATTACTTTTATTATAAATTTTTACATAGCAGACGCAGTGTAGTCCGACCCCCATTTACATAGAATGGATGGCGACCTTAATTACAGAAAGTCGCTTAGGACTATTTCCTATGTGAGAGTTCCTATGGGGAGGTTCATATTCAGTAGTGAACTATGAATAGCTGATATAATAGTTAATGATGATTGATTGAATTGGATTGTGTCATAATATTTTATCACTATCTCTACCCTCTTGGTCGCTAGCTACTTCAGTCTTAAATTTAACTTTCAGATAACATTAATTAAATACACTATAAAATGCACTTTTACTTTTCTCTGAATTTACAAATACTTGAGGAAATATTAAAAATATTTTGTATAGAAGTACATTTTTAATTCTATTGCTTCACGTAAATCACCAAACGGCTCGATCAAATCTGTCGTAATTACGAATACGCACAGTAAATCCTTGAGAGCTTGCCTAATGAAGGCTCAAAATTAAATATCAGTTAGGCTTAGAGTTAACGCCATTCGCGAAACTAACATTGCATGCACCAGACTGTGCGTGTGTATAGCATATCGTAATAACATACAAAACATAGTTTAATATGTCATATTATATATTTAACATACTGGTGTTCTGTGCAGCATTGCAATGCAGCTTCCAGTTAGTGCCTTTACGTAAGTTTTTCACAGTTGAATAAATGTATCGATACTCAATTAGTTAAAATTTAATATTTTGCTTCAATGATGTTACCAAATTAAAATGTGATAAAATTAATTACGAAAAAAAAACTAAATAAAGTTCATCGAAACCAGTGAAGAGGTACGTAGATAACATACCGATATAAGAAATTATACATAAATTTAATGTTTCTTCGGATTAAAAATATCTCTTAATAATCAGATACCATAAAAAAATATTAATTTTGAAATTTTAAATATTTACTTAGATCCAGTGTTGTAAATATTTAACGTGTAATTGTTACTAATCGGTATCTATAAAATCTGTATTTTGTATTTTTTTTTTTGTTTTTATCCATGCATACTAATATTATAAATGCTGGAGTGTATCTTTCGGCCTATTTTGTTTGTTACAATTTGGCATGAATATATATTGTATCACGAGGACATACACATAGGTATCATTTATCTCAAAAAACTTGAAGTGGCTGGAATAGAGAATGAAAGTTTCGATCTTTCCATCTTTGTTCATTTGTCTCTGCTCTAATAAACTTCTAATTCTATTGCTTTTATTATAACAGCGGACTACATTCACCCATGTTCAGAGCTCAGCGATGAATGCTTCACCAAAGCCACCCTAGATGCCATACCAGGGGTTGTGAAGGGCATTCCTGAAGCCGACATACCACCCTTAGATCCTTTATACATGGATAGAAACATCAGTATAGAACTACCCGGAAATCTAATGATGACTTTCCACAACGCCAAATTATCAGGACTGGGATCATGCGTGCCAAATAAAGTATCGTAAGTACCTTCTAGTTCATCTATTGTATAATACACTTTTCAATTCAAATATATATTCTTAGAAAACATATTTTTTTAACGAGCATATGACTGATCTAATGATACGTAATTACCGCCTGGAGGACCTGAATCACCTGACCAGGGGAATTACACGTGTGTCGCCGGTCTTTCAGAAGAAAAGAGAGGAGGTAGGTTCATTTAGTTTTAGTAGGTTTCCCTTCCATTACTAGGTATACTACCACTTCCACAAGAGAGAATAATCCTAATGAAAAGGGACTACTAATACGATTATTTAACTAAATTAACGAAATACATTGATTTTTTACTGGTTTCCAAATTTTGTTAATTACAATGCGTGTAACATGAATTCGCCTTCAAACCTTATTGGCGGGAAGTAGAAGATTAATATCACGTTATGCAGAGATTAATAATATTGTAAGTAAATTTACAACCTTTATAGGTTTTATAATTAATTATAATTATTTATAAAAACACCGTTAATACGCACACATAAAAATACCTTCACTATATGGTGTAATTTTTTTTAGGATCAAACCTGTTAATTTTCTTATAAATAATCCAAGTTCATTTAACGAAAAGGGCCTGGACAAATACCAAATAGATTTTGGAATTGTCACCAATTCCAACAAAAGAAAGAATAAGAAGGACATGTCTTTCTTATTCTTTCTTTTGTTTCCTGTAGGTACTAGCATTTGTTTGCTACTTATATATTCTTGTTGTCTTTAAATTACTTTCAAACTGTTTGCGTTCACCTTGTGGCAGCTAGTTGGCAGGCAATAATATTTTATTCAATATTTTCATAGATATTTATTTTTATTACGAAACCTTTATTAAAATATCATACTAGAAGTTGCGACGTTGTATAAAAACACAATTAACATTTATGAAATTGCACACTCGTAAATAATAAACCATCCCGTTTTATAATATACTAGTTTTTGTCCATGACGTTGCCTGCTTTTTCTGAGATAAGAGAAAGACTGTCAATTGTCGTATATATCGATCATAGAATCACTTAAATTTGATTACGGTTTAGCTCAGTCGTTTAATTATGTAAAAGTAACAAATAGATGGCTAACTTTCATGTTATAAAGGATCATTTTACAGTATTACAAATCAAATGTATCTACATAATTAAGATATATTTTGTAATAAATAATGAAAAATCTTATGCAATAATCTTATAATAATCTATATGTTTTTATCATAATTTCTACCATTTTACTAAATGATTTTTATGAAGCTGACTGTACGTGACATTGGGATATTGAATTGTCACATTGTTAAATTTTAAAATTCGTAAACAAAACGTATGTCAACGTAAATATTAAGTTTCTGTGCTTAATATTAAGACGATTATGATGTCAGAAGTGTCACCTCTAACTGTTTTATGTTAATAATTATTCATTGTTATTTTACCGGTATGTTGATCTTGACACTTGACTGTGTATTGTTGTACTAGACAGTCAATTACATTACAAGTACCTATATATTATATTAAATCTATAATATATACGTTATATGTCATTACATACTATAAAACAAAGTCGGCGCTGCTGTCTGTCCGCTTAAATCCTTTAAATTACACAACAGCTTTTAATGCAGTTTTCAGCAATAGATACAAGAGGACCCCTCTTGAATAACTCTATCTATCTCAGTTTTTCTAGAATAATAAATTATATGTTTATATTTTTATAGCAATACATTTGCCTCACAGACATGAGAATATCTTACATGTAACTTAACATGTAAGTGATATAAGTGACATAGAGCCTTATATTATGCTCATACATTTATTTCTTCTGTACATATACCTATTAATAGCACTAATACGATTATCTTAATAAATATTGAATATGCGGTTTTTAGATCGACAAGGACATTTATTTAAATTCTATTTGTAAATAAGTAAAAAAAATTTTTTTTTAAATAAATCAATGTTTATATTTCTTATGGGATATCATTATATAGATATATTTCATTATTTAAATAAATAGACTATATATAAAATATAAAACTTTTAAATTATATTTAAAATATTATTTCTACAATTTTTATTTTCGCTAACCTAGGATTTCTTCGGAAATTATCTCTTCCAACCATACCATACCATAACCGTAGGTGAAGCTATTATATATATAGCTTGAAGTAAATATTTGATATAATGTGGTGCATCTACAAATTATATTGGATGAATTTATAAATTTATGCAGTTTTTATATTCAATATAAACTTTTGCAATATCTTGTGCAAATTTTGAAGAATGAGTGTATGTTTATGATACCAAAATACAAATATCCATACTTATATTATGAATTCGATAGTATGATAATCTCTCTGTTTGTTATCTTTTAACGAGTAACCGGCTAAACGGATCTTAATGAAGTTTGACTTGAAGATACATAGATTACGGATTACGGATAATTATAGTATGATTTATCTCAAAAAATTGTATTAGCTTATGGAGACGAAATTGCGGGTAGCAGCTAGTAAGCGCTAACTATATTTTAACTTGTTTAATAATGTAAATATTCAAAAAGGTTAATTTAAAACACCAGACCGAACTGCTAGTGATGGAAATTAAATAGGAGATGAAAGTTTATGAAGACGAAATCGCGGGTAACAGCTTGTGAGCGCTAACAATATTTTAATTCAGTCTTCAATAATGCAAATATTCAACGGAAGATTAATTTAAAACACTAGACTGAACTGTTAGTGACGCACCTACTTCTTTACATTAATTGAGCAACTCTCCCGCGTCTGACTCCGATTTCGAAATGTGCATGAAGGCTGGCTGCACGAGTAATAGCAAAGCAAATATGGTTATGGTGTTACGAAGATGAATGCGAAACTTAAATCATACTGTCTGCACTTGTACAGTTTTAAAAGCAAAATATATTTATTTACACTCAATAAAATCATTACAATGAACGAAAATCAGTGCAATCATTATTTAACAATCAAAATGGATACTTAAAATAGATATATGTGTGTAAGATATACATAAGATACGTTATTTGTGAAAAGTATTTCATACATTTTATCTGTTTTAATTATAACACGAGCGGAGAAGCTCGTGTGAAGGTGTTGACGTCGGCAAAGGGGCCACTTAAACCTACACCCGGGCCACTAGTCCTGGGAGCTGCTTTTCCCTCTCTGCCATATAATGGTCCCGGCACCCTCACAGTTAATCCATGGAATGCTAAGAAGTTCGTCTTAAGTAATTATTGTGTGAATTGTTCACAGATCCCGTCGTGCCACGCGCACCTTTGTGTTCGACATGCATTGCAACTTTACTATCCGCGGTCTATACAGCTTGCGAGGTAGACTGCTACTATTCAATCTAGATACCGAAGGAGCTGCTAAAATAAAAATCTGTAAGTACACATCTGTGGGAATCTATTATTTCCTATTTCTATTGGCCTTCATTTAACAAAATTTCTAAATGTTTTTTTTATAAATTAAAATGGAATTTTTGTAAATTTTAGAATATCTTATCACGTTTCATTTGTTATTATTGAGTTACAATATTATTGCAGTATCACAACCGCAATGATCATGGGTAATCTGTAGAGCAGCGGATAGATAGGTTAAATAAATTATAAGCAGAAATATTCGTCTAAGCTCACACGTCTGAATTTATTGCTAATACTAAAACTCGTTGGATACTCATCTCAGCACACTATACTCACTGTATCTTCACGTAGATACTTGTAAAGTACATTCCGATCGTGATTTTTCGTTTTGTTTAACGTCGTAAGATAAACATTTTTGTAATAATAAGTGTAAATAATAACCACGTCAAATTTCAGCGGCCAACTAACTTGCTTTGTACGTATTTCGGGCATACTTAGCAGTAAATTATAGGATGAGAGGCATGACGTACTAGTCCTCTGAAATGGCAACGCATTAGTGGCATCATTAGTGTTACAGAATAACGTGCTATCAGTACCTATTGCTGTTTTTGTGTTATATGACGGTTAGCGCTTACCATCCGGTGGGCCAACTTAATCAAATTAACTTCAAACATAATTCTAGGGAACCAACACATAAGACTGGAAGTTGTAGAAAAGGTGGTAAAGAACAAAGATGGAGAGGGCCACTACAAAATCAACTCTTACAAATACAAGGCTGATTATGGCACAGACCTCAAGATGAACTTGACCAACCTCATTAGAGGCAACCCTGAAATTAGTAAGTAGGCCAACAAATTATTATGACCTTACATAAACAAATTTTGTTTTCATAGGACTTTGACAATTGTATGGAAATAATGACGACTATAATCCTTAATCGTCTTAACACTGTTTCCCATCATTAGAGTGTGTAATTTTTAAAAATATCAAGCTTATTGGGACTTTATAAAGTGGCAAATTGGTTAAAATATTTGTGTCCAAACATTTGTGTAATATTTTTATTGTGTTCTGTCAATGTTAATGGTAACCCTGATAGTGTACATCGTCGGTTAAATAGAAAAATGGCAGTATTCAAATTAGTAAATAGTACATTTTTATGCAATACAAGCATTCAAAGTTTTTAAATTTATTTAATTTATTTTTACCCTTCAAGTTTTAAATCTACATAGAATCTCATTTTAAAAGTATTTAGATAATGATCAAGATGTCGTGCTTAATTTAATTGACTTATATAAAAGGACGCAATTCAAGTTTCTAATTATGAAAAATGTCTTTTTTCTATTTAATCGGCGACATGTTATGATGCGTATTACGAAAGATAAAAGAATAAAGATGAATTTAAATCCCTCTGCCTATTGAGGCCAATTTATCTGGGATTAATCCAGTGACCTAATAGAGTATATTATTAGCAAATTTATTATCATAAAATAAATTTGCTAGTATACTATATTTAATATTGAATATCTGTGGTTTATACATGGCAAGCCAATTGTCATGTAATTACAGCATCTCATAGAGTCCGTGGCTAATTAGTTTTTTTTCTATATATCCCTTGTTTATTTAAAATAGAACATGATTGAATTAGCAATGAACAGTCAGTATAAATTAATAAAGATCGGATTCTATTAGAGCATGACTAACAAGTACGCAACGATATTTTGTAAATCACTACAGTACAGCGCATGTAAACTGTGTCGGTATTTCATTAGGCATAGCATAGTATACATTTCTTCCTCTCTGCTGCAACAACATGTTAGCTCTTGGCACTCTACCAAATTGTAACTTAGATATTGCAGTGCCAAATCTGTGTATTGATATTATTCAATAAATTTTGGCCAATAACTTATATTGTTACATGGATGCTTCATGAAACTAAATCTTTATACTAGAATTATTTGTCTATTTATATAACTACTTGAATTGTAATGCAATAGGATGCAGTAGGTAGACTAGTTAGATCAAAGAGAGCCCTTGTACAGTTGTCTGCCTCTTGACACCTATTTTAACTGCCAAGCAGCTTGCATTGTAATATTTGTTGTTGTAGAATATAAATATGGCAGTAAAAATACAAGGTAAGTACAATACAGCTTAGGCCTCCAGAATGGAAACGCATGAGGTGTATCATGAGCGTCACTTGACGCCGTGATGTCTATTGTGCTATTCAAGCATATAGACGACGATTAGCACTTACTCAGCCGTCAGCTTGTTTGTCATTTTAGTTCATCATTCATTTACTTATTTGTTTTGTTAATCAAAATTTTATTACCAGATGCAGATATTTAGATACAGAAAATCATTAAAATTATAAATTTACATAAAGTTATAGAAAAGACAGTCTCAACACTAAGCAATCTCTTCCAGACTTTTGGTTAGATGCTTTCCAGACCTTTGGGCAGAAAAAGTAATGATTAGAAAAGGGTATATGGCGCACGTAATGAACAAAAGTTTTAGCTTACAAAATTTAGCTCATTCATAGACCACCGAATTCAAAATTCCCATAACGATAAACTTGTTATCATTCCAATATCGATTGATCAGTAATTGTTTCAAGGATACAATGGTTCCGTGTTATTCTATATATTCTAATCTGACTTTTATAAAATATGTCTATTACTTATTTTGTGTAATGACATGTTATCATTGCCAGGTGCCAACATTCTCCAAGTTCTCAACAGGGATTCTCAACTGTTCGCGAATGAGTTCGGAGAGCCCATTTTAAACTACGCCATTGATTATGCCATGAATGTCACCCAAAGATTCTTCGATACGTTTACCTACGACCAGATCAGTCACGTGCCACTTACAGAAGACTTTTTTGTGAAAGAGTAGCATTAGTTCTATAGAATTTGTTTTTTAAATAATTTAATGAAAAAATGTGATTTATTAATTATTATAGTGCTGTTTTACTATATATATATATCCTTAGAAAACCGACCTGAAGTGATAACGAAGTGTTATCACGTTTCGTATGTAGAGTGAGAAGTTTGGACGCCAATTCTCCTCCTTTTTATGCTTTTGGTAACAAAAAAACTTTACAAGTACTATTTAACATGATAGCAGAAGCAAAGCTAATCCAACATGTCTACTTCAACATAATATTTCTCGGATTAATTTGTATTCTCATCATAATCTCCATAACCAAAATGACAAGACAGTTTTTATGGTGAGGGCCAGAAACAAACTCGTAGTTGCGTTTCGTAATCAAGAACCACATACGAGTGTAAAACAACTGTGCGACAGTATTTCGCATATTATAGGTAATATTTTCACATATATTCGTATATGACCTAAATTTAACAAAGTTCGATGAATACGTTCTAATGCTTACTGTTAAATTACAAATATATAAAACTTTAATTTAGTTGGTAACAGAGCATTATTGAGCAACTATTGATTAACTGTACGTGCGAGCAATGTTATTTATAAAGAGAACTGTAAAAAGTATAAAGTTATTTTACCTACTCATTGCATGTTTTTCAGAGAGTATTTAGATACTATATGGCCTATTATGTTTTTGTGTGTATATTAATTTGGTATAGGCTAATTCGACAAATATATGACAATATTAAAATACAAAACAAGTCAATATTGACAGTCTGCGAAAAAAATACTGTTCTGTGCAGGTAATATTAATAATGAATAATGTGATGGGACATGGGACAATAATGGCGGTTCCTTTAAAATTAAGGAGCGGGTGAAACCGCGAGTCACATCTAGTATTAGATACATACTCAGGTTTCTTACGTAGTACATAACAAGTTCAAGCACTTAGTACAGTATTTTGCAAGTCTATATGCATGGTATTGTGCAATAGAATTTCCCAGGCGTCTTGCGTGGCCTCACTATAAGTATAATACATGTACTCAATATAGTACCTGTTTATTATTTCTGAATAAAAATTCTTACATTCGAATATCTAATAAATAATATTATAATATAATAAATACATATAATACTCTATTTGATATAGTACCTACCTATAGTATACCGAAAGAAAGTATTTCTAAAATACTGTATTCAAAAAACTGAAATAACATTCCCAACATAAACGTTTGGGTAAAGTAAAAATTAAACTTTCATAAAATATGCGTGGTGATATGATCAATACAGTGACGGTCTCGGTGTTCTAATAATAACCCAGGACAATTCACACAGCGTCGTCTAGTCCCAAATTAAACAGAGCTACGGGTACTAGACAACTGTCAAAATCCAGACCAATACAAACAATTATATACATAAATGCAAATGTTTGTACTATCTATGAAATTGAACCCGCAATCATCGGAAGTAAGGCAGAATTTAACCACTAAACCACCGAGGCCGTCTCTTTATTGACCTATTAATTATAAATGACATAGATAGAGTTGAATTGTAAATATCACAATGTATGCAAATGTATTCACATTCAAAACATCTTCTAACATAAATAGGTAAGAAATCCAACAGCATTACCGCAAACTATCATTTTGTCATTATATCAATTACCTATAATTTGTCCTCGTTCAGATTTTTGCCTGTATCCTATACCTAGATTCAAAATGTTGCAATCAAACATAAATTACCGTTAAACTGCCATTTGATATGGCTATTGATTCACAAACTTACACAAGATTACTAATAGCTATCTGAGGTATTCTGTGGCTGACGTAGGTGTTAATATTAGTTGTATTATCATCATTAATCAAAACCTGGTTCGAACCCGTGACTTCCACGTAAAATTATTAAAGACTTTACTACATCCTATATTCATGTTTGTTTTCTTAAATATTAATTATATTAGATAGATATATATAAGAATAAACTAAAAAATAAAAAACATTAAATATTAATAAATATACCTCCACTATAGTCGTCTTCTGAGGAGTAATGAAAGGCATTGTCAACTGTCGACATCATATCTCTATATTCACATAACCCAAATTTCACTTATTTGAATCCAACGGAACAAGCGGAAACCCTACCGCTGAATCTCGAATTAATTTAGTTTTTAATTGATGTTTCCATCGTTAGAGAGTCAGTCATAATACAATTTGATATCAATGGTTCTTTTTATATTTAGAGATATGGTATGACGACCTTTCAGGTATAAATAAGATAGACTATATATACAAGTATGGTAGATGTCAATATATGGGTAACAAAAATTTAACTAGTGGTCGCCCTGTGGTCAAACTTTGACCATAATTAATTTAACATTTACTAAGACTACAGACACACAATATTGAATACAAACAATATTAATATATTGTATTTGACCAAAGACTTTAAAAATAAACAAAACACCTAAGCGTGTATGTCAATTAAAAAATTGCACACCTTTTCTATATAAACTATGTAGGTACTATAAGTAGTTACTTATAGAGGAGTTCCTCTGTCAGTGTAATTTTCGTAAAGAAGGGTTAAATTTTTACTTCCATTATTAATATACAGATAATTACTAGGAACAAATATAAATGTCCATTGGTAATATTTCGTTTACATCACAACGCAGTCAAAACAGATGGATAAACAACAGGACACAGCGAAATAGCCCAAAGCGGATTTCATCCTATATGCACGTTAACATGGCAACATGGTAGTCATATTCTATGATCTACGTCCACCCACGAAGCGCTTTCACTAGCCATCTATTACAGGGTTATCTCTAAGATCTGGTCAAGCCTAAATTTGACTAAATGGTCTAGTAGTTTAGGTGGATCGATTAATAAAATACAAAAACTACCGTTATGGTGAACGCAACACTTGACATGGGGGTAAAGGGGTAAAGACTGATGACTCCATTACTAGCAATATACTATGTCCGGTTGACCTCCACGCAGTTCCCCCTGGAAACCATCGGGATATATTCATGATCAGACGGGTGCAGCATTCCATTATCATCCATTAAAAAAAACACTTGACGGCCTCTATGACGGTCTTGGTGGTCTCTGCTTGAGAAGTTAAGCTCAGCTCCATATCTGTGTGAAAAGTCTAGGAAAAAATTAAGTTAGCGGTTAAACTTCCAATTTTTTTACTACCTATCCATATATCCAACTGCGCTGCCTTCATTTAACACTTCACTTAATTATTTAAATTTATCCAGTACAAAGAAATATAACATTTTTGTTTTAAAATACCAATGAATTCATTACGTTCAGTTTTAATACAAAAATAATGCAAATAGACACATATTAAAACACCCAGACCAATACAAACAATCACACTCACTTTATACTACTCTTTTAATACTCACTTTATAATACTCAATTTATCATATGAGAATCAAACCTGCGAATAACAGTCACTCAAATCAACATAGGAAAGTCCGGCGCTATTCTTATCCGCTAGACCATAACCATAACCATCAAAAATTAATAAATTAATAATACATAAAATAGCTCTTAGGTAACCCTACTGAAATATAGATTATGAAAGTTTTGGAATGAAATGAGAAACGCCCGCGCACCGACAAATTTGGAGCGAGTTTACTTGTAACTATTATAACAGGCTCACTGAGGGTGATAGTTATAAACACTGCAAGTTACTTCAATATTGGCTAATGTTATCAGCAGATACAGATATTAAGTTATTATCAGTAATACTTCCTTATTTTGATCCTTAGAAGGTATTTTAGTCCAAATAAGGCATATAACTTTTTTTTTACTTTTTATAAATCCATCATGTAGATCCGGATCCGTTGGGAAGACGGTTATTGCCGGAATTCTACCACCACAGATAAAGATACTGTAGTACCCGTAGAAGACTTCTTGCAAAGTCTACGTCGGTAAGTATGATAAGTTGCGACGATTCTTTAAATTATCTACAGGGCGCATTTATATAGAGGTAACTTTTGTTGTAATTAATCTGTATTTAGTGACACAAAAAACAAAATTAATAAAATATAGTTTTATAGACAACTCTAAACTTCATTCTCACATCAACGTTCATAGATAGATTCAAATCAGGTCTTTACAGGACAGATCAAAATTTTAGTAAATTTCATAGATTAGACCATAGATTTAACTTATGACCATAAGACCATAGATTAAACTATAATTTTACTATTACTAGGTACAGACCTACAATAGTAAAACTATAGTTTTAAAAAGGAAATTAAATAATTGCTGTACAAATAAACACAACTTATTGCTGCGTTATCAATTAGAACCGTCTTAATGATCCGCAAACATTTTCTATTCAAACCGTATAATAAAAAGACATAATCACTTTTGAACAGTAATTTTTGATTACACAGACACTTTAACAATACAGATCAAGGCAAGATATAATTATTCAAAATAAACGTACCACGAATATGTTTACGCGATTTTTTACGATTATTCCTCAAATATAGACTCAGGTTCAACAACGTATAAAATTGGCTAAGTAAATTTGATTACAGTAATGTCATTTTAAAACCACATGCTTGCAAGAATATAATCATTGCATAATTCATGAATCTACCTATTTTGTAATAATTACCGCAGTATTTTAAACAATGATGAGGTCTTTTTTTATTTGTCTATAAGATTAGCAAATTAGCAAGCTTTTTTATACGACAGCAATAACCAACAAGATGGAAGTCGTAACTGCAACCTATAGTCATATACAGCAACAAGAACACTACAAAATATAGTATCATGACTAAAATATCCTACGTGAATTGCTTATTCTTTAATTTAAATCAAATCAAATAATTGTTGATAACTGTAATTTGTTTTCAATTAGCATTACGTAAAGATAACCACATGACAACGTAACCAGAGCATAGCTTGCAAGAAAGAGACCAAGTAAATATAAAACTATTGACCTTTCTATGAAATACGAGAGCAATTTTGCGCGATATGCAT